TTGTGTGAAGAAATATAATTTTAGAATCATAAATTGCTGCTTGGAGTCTTCAAGTTGATGTTTTCAAATTACATAATCATATCAAATGAACTATTTCTATTTCCTTTTCCCCTTTTCATTTTATTAAAAGAATTCGATAATTATCTCAAAATGTCTATTTCGATTTGATTGATTGCTTATATATATATGGTTTTGGATAAAAAATCTTTGAAGCCTTTTTTTTTTTTTTTTTTTTACAGGGCAGTTCTCGTTAGTTCACTCTAGTTTTATCATCTTTGATCGTCGGACGTTCAGAGACTGAGATTATAGGCGATATATGATGTAATTGGTTATAAAGTTATGGTGTCCATGCTTGATGCATAGACATATCGAGATCGAGTGTGTGTAGTAAGAAGCGCCAGCTTATATTATCACGTTATGAAGACTGTAGAGTGGCTATACGGCGCTCTTTATACAGATATATGGTAGAGCGCTATGTGAGATTCGTTATCATGACATATGCATGTAGGGTAGTAAACTAGTCCTGACGAAGCTGAAGATGATAGACTTAACGAGCTTCGTTTCATATTTTTGTATGTATGCATTGATTTATCTCTATTTGTCTCGCCATATGATTGGGTCATGTAGAATTGAAGCGTGCGAATACATTATTCTTCTGATTAGTTATTATCTAGTCTGTGCGTATTTGCAGTTGTTGTCGCTCGACTGCTTGATCGTTAAGTAGTTCAACAAATCTGACTAATTTCACTTCGCCTCCAGCAGATAAATAAATTGGCTCGAAGGAGTTTTGCCGTTGCGGAATAATCGACACGCCATAATCATAAAGAGTCATGGTAGTCGAATTCCGAAGGTGTTGCTTGTCACTGAATTTGACCCCTATTCGATTATTCTGTAATAAAACCGTCTTTGAACACTATTTGTAATTTTTCTGTGTGAAGAAATAATAGATTATTAGAATCATAACAATTGCTGCTTAGGAGTCTTCAAGTTGAATGTTTCAAATTCACATTAATGCATATCAAATGAACTATTTTTTCCTTTTCCACCCTTTTTTTTTAAAAGAATTCGATAATTATCTCAAAATGTCTAATTTCGAATTTGATGTGGATTGCTTAGTGATAGTGAGAGGTTTTGGATAAAAAATCTTTGAAGCGCTTTTTTTTTTTTTTTTTTGGAGGTTAACTATTCTATGATTTGTAAGATTGTTGTTTTTTTTTTTTTTTTTTTTTTGGGTTAACATTCTATGAATTTGTAATTGTTGTTACAGGTGTTCATTGACCTCACACACCCCGAACAAAACAAGAATAGTTCTGAATGGGAATAAAATAGGCTGCTAATGTGGGCCCCACAAAGACAATTTTCATGGTTGATAATCAAAATTTCGGAGTCTCAAAGGGAAAGGTACTTTACAAACACATGGTGTTGTTGATTTTAACAACCTTAATGTTGTTATAATATATGCCAAATTCTTGTTAACTTCAAGACATTAGACTTCATTACTATATTTTCGGAAGTTACTTCCATATATATCAAAGAAACCCTTTTCTTTTCTCAAAGTGTTCATATTTAGGTATCCTAGACATGAATAAGGTTTTTTTTTTTCCCTTTATTTTTTCAATAAAAACCAAATGGGTATAAATAATATTTTCATCTACACTATAACAGAAAACACTTACACATAAAACTTTGTATTAATTATATCATTTAAAGAATGTTAGAAAATCAATCAAAGCACATCTGACTAGTAATAATATTCTTTTCCTTTTAAAGATGTTAAGATAGAAGATAATGTTACAATTTAAATAGACTAATTAATTTAATTTCCCTTCATAACTATTGTAATAGTAATTTTCTTTTTCTAAATAATGGTTAGGTCTCTAATAGCCTTCCAAATGAATATGCATAATTTTGAAATTTTAGTTTTCAAGTTTAGATTTTTAGATTGAGTCATTTATTAACAGAATCAGAGAAGCATAATTTGAATAGAAAAAAAAAAAAACAAAAGGAAAGAGGAGGATAATATCACCCCTCTTCATTTTGAATCCTAGGATGGAATAAGTTCCTTGATTGTATTTGGGGAAATTAAAGAAATGTTGAATTTGGAATACCCATAAGGTCATCAACATAGCAAATGGTCCCTTTGGGATTAGGTATATGCCAATTTAGGTCTTGTGGTTTAGGATATGGGTGGTTGTAAATCGCATCATTTAGATTTGGTTATAATAAAATAAAAGCATAAAACAAGAGATTATCTTTTTAATCAAAGGCATCATCAAAATATTGAAATATAACTATTGGCTATCTCCAAGTCAAACCAAGAACTCAGTGGTTTAAAATACCCAATACAATGTCAATCATTATTATCCTTTATGCAAAGTGCATAAAGCTATTTTTATGGTAGCATTAGCCCAATTTTAGGGTTTTCCTAAACTTGGAATGGGGGCCCAATTGAGATGACATGGACTCAGCTTTATTGGTGAATGGGCCTGTAAATATCCAATTTACTTAAAATTTTCAAATTTAAGAGCAATAATGGTAATAAATAATCATTTCTACACTATCCTAAAGGAATGATGATGGGCGACTAAGACTAAGGGTTGCCCACCAGAGGGGAACCAACTTATTGGAGTTCTCATTGGCTGATGCGTGAGGTGGTTGGACCCTGATTAAGACTAGGAGTGTCTTCAAAACTAATTGGTGGAGTTGGCTGATGCGTGAGGTGGTTGGACCCTGATTAAGACTAGGAGTGTCTTCAAAACTAATTGGTGGAGGAAAAAAAAAAAAAAAGAACAATTGTAGTTAACAAAATTATCTTTTTATCAATTCTTTAAATAATTAATATTCATTTAATAGAGATACCATGAGAAATAAGAAATTAAGTTAAAAAAAAATCTAAAATGACACTTGAAATTAATATATATATATTTTTAAATTTAGAGCCTTATGCTATTGACACATGAAAATAAATTTTACCATCTTAATGAGAGGATGAAGGAATATTTAACTCCATTAAATTTTAATTTTAAATCAATAGAAATTGATTGTAGAAAACCATTTCTTCTAATTATATTTAATTTCAGTTATATTTTCAATGAACCTCAAACTAGTAACGCTAGCAATGATAAATGTTGAGAATAGGGTGGAATTTAAAATTTCAGGAGAAGGTTAATGTAATTGTCCTTTTAATTTGGAAACAAAATAATTAAATAATTTTTATTTTTATACATTTATTTCCTTTTCTTCTAGTCTATTGAACAAATAAAAGCGCAAAATAAATATATTTTTTTTTTGTTTCTCTCTACGAATCTCTTAAAATTGACCTAAATAATCCTGGATCACCAAAGTATTAATCCAAAATAAAATGGACAACACATGATGGAATTTGAATGCATATTGGAATATGTGTGGAGGTGGAGAAGGTTTAGAATGAAAAGGACAACGTAGATGCAATAAGGTTGACCCGTAAAACCACAGAATTCAAAAACTTTCCAAGAAATAAGTAGAAAAAAACAAGTGATGTAAACCCACACTTGAAACCTGAGGAATGAAATGAGAAATAAATTATGAGTTAGGTCAAACCTAAATATGGAATTCTTGATCCAACATCAATTACACTAAATATGGTAGTCAAATGCAAGTCAATTGCAATTAAAGGATTTCCGAATAACACCTCTTTTCTTAGTCATATGATGACAAGGTTTAATTACCAAAAAGACCAATAATCTTCTGAAAGTGACTAGTAAATATTGAGCTTAACGGAATTTCTTGCCCACAGCTGGTTTATGGTTGGTTCCATGCATCGAGCCAATTTAAAAGAAGTTTCTTTTTTTAAATGTTACTATATTATCATTTTTTTCCCAGGTAAAAAATATTTTCGTTTGAACTAATTATTCGTTTATAATTAATTGGTGTATAAGTGGATCCATACACAAGGTATAGAAAAGTATTTCCCTTATCTAAAATCACTAATTTCAATGATTAGTTTAGTTGTTAGTTAAATTTGTTTCTTGTTTTGATAATTAAGACGTGGATTTTAAAACTAATGCTTTATGTAGATAGAGAGAGCATGTAAAATAAGAGAGCAAAATGGTACTATTTTACACTATTTATTTGGTTTGGAGGAAATAAGAGAGTGAAAGTAAAATAAAATTATTTTGCATTAATTGTACCTTTATTATTATTTTCCTCCCATCTTGAAGAGTGAAGAACATGCAAAAAGGTTTCTCCTTTTAGCCGTAAGTGTAAATTGAAAGTGTGTATAGGTAAAAAGATCAATGCAATGGAATCTTATTTGGAATAACAAAACTTGCTAAATGAATAATGGAGTATATTTTGTGTATGCATGTACCTAATAATTCCTCAAAAAATAAGGGATTAGACACAACAATAATCTTGGGCCACTTGTGACTTGTGAGGCAAGGTTGGGTCCATGGCCTTTGTCTCATTGCTAAGAGACATGGATTAGCCATATTATCTTGCAGGTGCGAAGATGACTAATGATATATGCTTGTCCCAAAAGACATTTATTTTTCAATTTTAATTTTTGGGTGGTTGAAATTTTTGTAGCCTTCATTATTTTCTCTTCTTTACTATATAAAGGCAAAAATGTATGGGCATATATAAAGATGACATGTGCATGTTAAACTGCTGCAAGTAAGACTGTAGCAGAAGAAGAGATGGGAGGTGTTATGGGAGTCCAATCTGACAAGAAAAGGAAAAAAAAAAAAAAAATGGAGTCCCAACTGACAAGAAAAGGAAAAAAAGAAAAAAAAGAAAGCGAAGTTGGAGGGTGAAAAACCTTGGAAAAGATCTGACCACGATAATACTATACTGCTCTCCGAAGTCTCAAACTTTTTTAAAAGTGGGGAAGAGAATAAGGAAAAAAAAAAAAAAAAGAAAGAAGTTGGAGGGTAAAAAACCTTGAAAAGAATCTGACCACATAATACTATACTCTCTCAAGTCTCAAACTTTTTTTTAAAAGTGGGAAGAGAATGAGATTAGGAATGAATCACAAGCATTTGTGTCTCTTTGTGGGGCATACAGTACTCTCCTTCTCTTTCTATTTTTTTTCTCTCTCTCTTTGCTTTGCTTTTGCTGTCTCTGTGTGTACTTTTGCTTCTCTCTCTCTCTCTCTCTCTCTCTCTCTCTCTCACATTAATTGATGGGTAGCTGGTAAAAAGACTGGAAGAGCCCAAAATTCAACATAAGAGTGGCTATTGCATTATCTTCCTTTTTTTGGCTATTTTTGGAAAAAAAAGTTTTGCTCTTTCTGACTTTTATGACTTTGCACTATCATATCTTCATCTCCATTTCTTCTACTTCTGCTTTCCCATAATTGTCTGTATCTTTCTCTCGCTCTCGCTTTCTTGATGAGCTTATCTATCCATTTATTCTCCTTTTATCAACTTTTACCTACTCTTAGTGGTAAAAACAAGAAAACTCAATTTCTAGTCTGTCTTTTCTTTTCATACTCTCACACTCTCTCCAAAGCAGCATGTCCTTGAAGCATACTGTGCGATTTCAAGATACTACCATGTAAGGAACTTCTACTACTTCCCTTATCATCTATGGATTTAAATTTTGTGATTGTTTCTTTCCCTTTTTTTTTTTCTTCCTGCTTCTTTTTGCTGCTTTAATCTTTAATCTTTAATCTTTAATCTTTTCCTTTTATTTTGGGTTGGGTGGGGGCATAAATATGCTTGTTTTTCACTATATCTTGTGTATATTATTGTCCTATTGAAATAGGTTTTAATCCATATTGGGTTCTTGTGGATTTTGGGTCTTGAGAGTTCAGTTTAATTTGTGTGATGTGGGATATTTTATACGTGGTCCTGTTTGTCTAACTTCTATATATTGTATAATGAATTAATATATGGCTAATTTGAATTCATTGTTTCCAAATAAATGAGAGTTCATCTGCTACTGGAATGAATGAGGAGTTTCTATTCACTATTGAAATGCACGATTTTTTTCTTTGAGATAATTTATTTCTGTATTTTCCCCCAGTAATCCTAATAGAAAATAACTATATTTTGATGTTATACTGCCTTTTCCTTCAAGCTGCATGCTTAATTAATTTTTTACAATTGCTGCACTGAGATGAATAACTGCTTTTATTTCCATTCTTGATGTGTGATATAATAGTAGTTCTGTTAGTTTGATGACAGTGGATATGAAGTTTTTAGTTGGGTTCATCTGATTATGATTTATTGGTTCCAGAATTCAAGATCAAAACTTTGGAGTGTTGGACTTGTGTTCTTGAACTAATTTACCTCTAATGTCAGAGAGCAATGCATTAGTTGTTTTGGATTACAGACTTTGAAGATGGGAAATTTGGGAGATCTTTTGCAAAATGTGTCTATTATATGACTAGTTGCAGGATGTTATGTAGTTGAGATGTGAATTCTATACATTGATCATTCGAGGCTTTTATGCTTCCTGCTATAGGGATAGGTTCTTGCAAACATAGGAAAGAAAATAGAAAATCTTGAAGTTTCTAACGTTTTCCCATTCTAAATTACAAGTAGGGACGCACTGCTAGAGGGTAAATAAAGAAATGAAAGACAGAATGGAAACTGCAACAATGCTTGGCATAGTCCCAGAAGAAGCCTTAGCCTTGTGGTGTGTTCAGTTCTGATGATTTAGATGATTCAGGAACCACACATATACTGTAAAAAATAACCAGCAACTTTCAATTTATTTTGAGATATTACTTAATGTGCCAAACAAATACTGAATCAATCATTTCAACTTCTTTACTGCTTGGTTTATTTCTTTGAGCTTTGCTAAAACATTTGCACTCTGTGTTACTATTTGGTAGCATCATAAATATTTCACTTCTTATTCTGTCAACTTTAACTTTGTCTCATTTCAACTTTTGCTTGTCATTGAACCATAGGTGCAACTGGTTGAGGTGTCCTTCAATCTTCTTTAAGGTTTTTTATGTGAACCACTAGCTTTTTTCCATTTCTGATAAGATCAATAATGAAACTGGTTTTATTTTTATTTGCCAAAAAACCAAGTTTATCAGATAGTGATATGCCTTCCATAGAGCTTGATTATAAAACTCAATGGTTGCAGTAGCCTTTTGAATTTCATCTTTAAGGTCATATGATAATAATAGCAGTAAAGAATATTTAGATCAAGTTCTTGAATTTACTGAATTTAAGGCATAGCAAATGACAAGCAAATTTCATACTATTGCTATAGATGATTGTGGTTATGCATTTTCTGCATATGCAGGTGAAGCATTAGTCAATCTGCAAAAGCAGCTCCTTCAGTGTTCCTCTCATTCAGATATACATTTTTTTAAAACTTTACACAATCATGACGCCTCCATACTCAAAATTGGAATCAGAAAATGAGTCAGAAATCAGCAGCCAGGTAGCATCCAACATATCCTTGCAAGAACCATCTCCTGATCCTTCCAAGGAGGGCAGCACACCATCTTCGTCTCTCACGGATCTTGCCAAGCTTCAACAAGGTTCAACACCTGTTTCGCTTGACTTGTCACTTAACTTTAACTCTTGTGACATTGAGTTGAAGGGCAGCACAGCAGGTGAGACTAGCAGTGAAGTAGCTCCTGCCACCACTCCAGCTGCAACCATTCCAAGAGTTTTCTCTTGTAACTACTGCCGACGCAAATTCTATAGCTCACAGGCACTCGGGGGCCACCAGAATGCTCATAAAAGGGAACGAACAATGGCGAAACGTGCAATGCGAATGGGAATTTTTTCAGATAGGTATACTAGCTTGGCATCTCTTCCACTTCATGGTTCTGCATATAGGTCACTTGGGATCAAAGCTCATTCTGCAATGCATCAGAATATTATTCCATCACAGCAAAAGCCTCCTGATATGAGAGGCGGAGCAAGATTTGAGCAAGGGTATTATGGGATGCCAGTTTTCATGGAAGATGAAGATGTTGGCTTACATTGGCCTGGAAGTTTTAGACAGGTTGGTGGCAGTAACTTTGGTTTAGAGTTTGCTGAAAGTTCAAATTCAAATATGAACGTTGTACGAATTTCACCACAGCCAAGGACAGATTCTTCTGCACCAGATCTTACTCTGAAGCTTTGAGTTTAGAAATTTTGTTATGATTTAGACATTCTACTTGTAATAGTCTTTCCTTTTGTACAGTGAGATTATATGCATTGATAACAGCTGCAAGAATCGACATTTCTTCTTCTTTTCCTTAATTTAATTCCCTCATTTATTATTGACTAACGTTGGAGGTTTAAATTAATTTCAGGGTCTTGCATTCATAATTTTAGCTTGCTAGATTGAATTAGCCTCATTTATTTATTTTTGATAAAAAAAAAAAAAAAAAAAAAAAAAAAAAAAAAAAAAAAGTCTTGCATTCATAATTTTTAGCTTGCTAGATTGATTGCCTCATTTATTTATTTTTTGATAAAAAAAAAAAAAAAAAAAAAAAAAAAAAAAAAAAAAGACAAAAAAAAAAAAAAAAAAAAAAAAAAAAAAAAAAAAAAAGACAGACACCAGAAACTACGTCGTGGTAATAAGAACACCAACACAGTCGTGGAAGATCCATGTTGTAATATTCTCCATATATAATATAGATAAATTTTTTAAGCATTGATAACAATTACTACGGTACAAATAACAGGTAAAAGTGTTTTAAGAGATTATTGTATATAGACAATCTGAAGTATGAGATGTTTATGAGTTTGCTGATCGAACGACTTCCCGTCGAGACTTTTCTATTATCAAATTTATTTTTCATGCCATCCATTTTCAGTGAACGACACGTCTGCTTAAAGAACGAATGCTTGTTTGCCTGGCGAAACTATGTCCTTCTCATAGGTGGGCTTTTAATGGGTTGGACCAATAAGCTATTCCAAGCCCGATTTCATAGAGCTTAGGTCATGTTTGGTAAAGTCTAAAATTTCAACAGTAATACTAGTTATCGAACTAATGTACTGGGCGTTACCTTACGTCCGAAAACCTACTTGAACTCCATTCCATTTCTCAATCCATTCTTCAAACTCGACCGGCCGACCCATCGTCCCTATTTTCCTCCTTTCCGCACTCTCTCTGCCCCACCTCGCCGTCGCTGACTACTGCACCTGCCGTTTCTCTGGCGTTCGCCTCCGTTCTATACCTTGCACTTCCTCCTCCCAGGTTCAACTTTTTTGTTTTCTTAATTTCTGCGCAGTTAGCTTAGACTCTCTGCACTCCTATGTGTGACTGTGAGCGAGTGAGTGAATGTGTTTTGTTTTTTGTTTACAAATCCGAAAGTGATCCTTCAATTTTAAGTAGTTTATTTGCTATTCTGCTAGTTATTGTCTTTTTATTTTTCTTTTCTGTTCTTTGAATTGTACGTTGTTCTTAGTAATATGACTCGACATTACTCTTTAATGTTGGTTCCTTAGCTTGCATGTTTATTTTCTGATCTGGACTATGCCTATTTCAGTGGCATTAGGATTCAAATTATATTGGTGTGTTTTTTAATTGGAGGCTAATAAGGTGTTAGAAAGGGTTTATCCTGTGAATAAAACATTTTCTACTATTGATTACATTTCTTTTATCATTTGATTTCACACTTTCTATTTGGTTGCTGAGAAAATTAACAAGAAATACAGAAATCCTACGGGGCAGGTGGTGAAATATTAGCTTAATCAAGAGCTAATTGTTGATTAAAATAAGTTATAAACTAATCAAGTTAATCTAGGTTTTAAGCATTTATGTGTAAACTATTCTTCATTGGCGCTTTGTTTTGTTTACCAGATTCAAGAAGAATTTGAAGTAGCTAAATAAGAACCTTGAGTGAGCAAAAACTACTGAAAATGGCCTTTAGAGGAAAGGAGATAATGAAGAAAGTACTGAAAAAGGTAGGAGAGAACAATTTAACATCTGGAGTTAAGGAATCTCTCAAGAAATCCATCCCTGATAGCAAGGTTGTTATGGGCCGAGCCAAGCGTGGCCTCTTTGCTGGCCGGCATATCCAGTTTGGCAATCGAGTCAGTGAAGATGGTGGTAACAAGTTCGTATCTCTCTTTCTCTCTCTCCCTCTCCCTCTGCGCACAACATTGCTTAGGATTTAACCATGATTTATTTTATTTGAACGTTTTGTAGAGATTGGTATTTAATATTTTTGGATTAGTTTGATATTTGATCTTGTGATTATTCATGAATGATTTATGGATGATTGGGGGCTCCAATTGTGCTTATTAATTGTGCAAAATGTTGTGTTTATATTGTTCAAGGCTAAAAATTTCTTGTACATTCATGAATCTTCCATTTGCTTGGAGTTGAACTATGGAAGGCTAAATATTTCCTTGAAAGATACGGATTGGCCTTTTGTTCAATATAGTTGGAAATGGAGGACATATGTAAGAACAATTTGTGAAATGTCAACACTTTTGTTTCTTTAAATGACATGTAAAAGAAAAGGTTTTGTTGTTGATGCAATTATTCCTTGCTCAATTGTAATTCCTAACATCAAGTGCTTCACTGAAGTTAGAAGCTTAGCTGCTGCATCCACCAGCTAAAAGGACCAATCTAATGAACTATGTCTATAGCTGGTTTATCTATCAAAAGAATTGATGTCTGGATGGGTGTGTTTAAATTAAATTGTCAAATTGGTGTTCCACAGCTTTAATGATTTGATCTTGAACTTGGTTGTTACTTGTATTTGATGCTGTACTGTCTTTTGTTGCTATATGATGAAGATAGTATGAAATATGAAAAAATAGCTCAACTATAGCAGAAACACATTTTCAATGTCATGATTTTCAGTTGTGACAGGATTTGAATTAGTACATAATTTGATTCAAAACAGAAAATTTGATGTTGTATGTTGTTAGGTATCCACTGAGCTTGGCTTGCTTGTAACATGAAAAATTGCTTGGTCGGTTCTCACGTTATAGATTTCTATTTTTAATCCCTGGTATAAATTTAGATAAAAATTATTGTTTACGATGCTCAAGTGCATTTATGCGATGCCAATAGGTCTAGGAGGACTTGGAAGCCGAATGTCCAGGAGAAGAGGCTTTTTAGTTACATCTTAGACCGACACATTAAAGTCAAAGTCACAACTCATGCTCTTCGTTGTATTGACAAAGCTGGAGGGATTGATGAGTACCTGCTGAAGACTCCTTACCAGAAAATGGACACAGAAATGGGCCTCTTATGGAAAGCTAAGATAGAAAAATTGTATGAAAACCTTGGGAAGATGGAGGTAGCCTTCTTTTCACCCGAAGATGAAGCCAAGTTTGAACAAAGATTCAAAGATTTAAAACTATCTGAGCGGGAGGCGCGTAGGGAATTCAGACAAAAAATGTATGCTGAACTTGCAAAACAGAAGCAAACCGGGGAAGAAAGAAGCTACATCAGTTTCGTAATAGCAAGTGCAGATGATTATCCCGATAAGATAGTGGCGAACTACTGAGTATGAACCGGATGATATTGCTCTTGATGACTTTGTTCAACTGTAATGTCCTATTGTCGGAAGCTAGTGGCTGGGTGCTTGATGGCTATTAATATTAGCAGGAATCCTTGTAGAATTTTCTTTGCATACATATTCAACTTGGTATCAAATGGGCGGAGACTTACATGTTGACCGGAGAAGATTCAGAGTAAATGGGAAGGGGAATAAAGCTATTTCTCGTTCTGTTGAGTTTTTGTTTTCCTCTTTAAATTGAATCTATGATAATATATGTTTACTATGGTTCAGACAAAGAATCATCTCGACTCTTAACCAGGCCTGGGTTACCGGAAACTTTGAGATAGTTTCTAGTTGCAAAAAGGGCGCTGAAACCGCTTATTTGCCTAGCGATTTCAGCACAATTCGGTTGCATTTTATTTTATTTTATTTGTCAAAATGCCTTATATGCAGGATTCACTTTATTGTAAAACTTTAACAAGTCTGTAATGTGATATAAACGTCTCCAATTAAATGTTCCGGGCCCCCCAAAAAATTAAAATAAAATAAAAATAAATGCAAGCTACTAAGGCGGCCTTCAAGTGTATGTATAAACAACTCTGCATTAAATTTTGGTTTCATGTGCACTGTACATATTTTGGCCGAAAGTGAAAAGGCAAAAACCAAAAAATAAAAAACAAAAGAGTGTTTCTCTTTACAACGAATTTTGAGGGCATTTTAGTAAAAAATTATACACAAAGACATAGAAAGCCAACCACTTTACACCAATGCATCAATGCATGGTTTTCTCTCCAGGGAGATTCTCTTGACAAATTACAGCTTTTTTAATTGATAAAAAAGAGAGAATGACAACATTATGCTTATTATAATTATAACAATTACCAAAATAATTGTTGCTATTATGTTTCCCATCACTGTACAACAACACTAATTCTTTTTTCTTTTCTTTTATCTTACAAATATTTTTCACGCTGATTTTCTAAAAATCATCTATAAAAATAATACTTAACTGGTATTAAATTTATTAAAATAAAAGAATGAAAAGTAAATTTATTTATTAATTGAATTGATTTTTAAAATTAAATTAATGATATTCATTTCGTACCTTGCATTTACGTCGTAGTTCATTCAATAATAAATATGTATTTGTACTTCTTAAATAAAATTTAAATCTTATTATAAAAAAAAATAGGGTTGTCCTTTTCTGTTTGTTTCTTTGATTAGATAATGCATCATTAACATGAATGTGGGGTCAAGGTTCAATTAAGCTTATTTCTTTCTTTTTATATATATATTTTTTAATGGGATAAATTATCTTCTTTGAAAACTATATTTTTAGTCCATGAAAAAGCTATGTATGATAATTTGACCAAGTCCAGTCTTCTGGCTGGCTCTAAAACTAGGACGAGGGCTACATAATTTCTTTTGGTTTCAAATAAAATCTAAAGAAAAAAAAAATATATATCTATAAAAAAATAAGGTAGCGTTATATTGAGAACGCATTTTGTAAATAAATAACAGAGCAATTAATTTTTTAATATTAAATTGACTATATTATCCTTTTAGTTAAATATTATGTTTAACCTGTAGAATTCATAACTTGAACTCGAGGCTTTCTGTTTCTCTTTCAAATCAATAAAATTGATTAATCCATGATAAAACCAATTAATCACACTATGAAACTGTAAATGGTTAAAAGCTCATATTTTTCAAAGATCTGCCATTAAAATTGAGAATTATGGTATTTGTTTTGGTTGGTGAACCATTCTGCAGTAGAAGCAAGGAAAGCAGAGTTACTGAAATGCTGCAAATTTGGCCTCAAGATGGATCTTCAATTTATGGCAATAAAATAATTTTTTATACTTCTTGTTTTAATGATAAATTTCAAAATTAGAAAGAGTAATACAGTCATTTTAATATTAAAAAAATTCAATTGCTTTAGTATCAACAAAATGCCATATGAAAATAAGGCTATCCAAAAATTATCACTTATTATTATTATTATTATTTATTATTTTTTTAATAAAAAAACATTATTCTTTTATTTATGTCAATTATTGATATTAAATTAGTTGAAGACATACGCTCGGTATATGAAGTAAATCTTTCTTTCAATGAATTGGACTTTAAATATTTTTTTTTATCATATAACGTAAAAGAATCATAAAATTTATATTCTGATATGATTTTATATTTTTAATATATAAAGAGATGGGACGTAATTTGGAAAATACTGAAAGACCCATTCAACTTAGTTGGTAACTTCCAAAGTTTTGTTGACTTTTATGTCAATATAAATGAGAAAGACATTGAATTATGCAAAACAAACCCAACGTGTTTGTTCAACAATGATGAATGACAAGTCACTAATAACAAGTTTAATTTAATAAACTATACAAAATTATTTCATTTTTCATGACATATCTAGTTTATACACACACGTGCGTAACACGGTTTTGCAATGTGATTTTGATATAATACTATATATCCAATTATATATAATTTAAAAAGAGAAATGATAATATTAATAATAATAATAGTAAGTTATCTAAATAAACCTTACCTAAAAAATTAAGAATATGAGATATGTTTCTATCAAAACCTAAAACTTAAAAAGCTTTCTTTTCCTCTTCTACAGCGGCCACTGTTAACTCTCACCGGTGGTTACCTATTTCCCTTTTTTATTTGATTTTTTGCAAATAATTTTCAAACTCCCTTTTTTTTTGTTTTTTTTTTTCAAATAATCCACGGATCTCTGTTTACATATCTAAGTTATTGTCATCTAAATATTGAGATTTATTATTGACCATATCTTGTAATTTTATTCTCAGATCTAGTTTAATTATTGTAATCACTATTATGGTGATTTTGTCTAGTGTATTTTATTATTATGATAATTATATAGAAAGAAAGACAGATCTCTTTTCTAATTTAAGGAATAAATTTGAAGGTAATCAAATCGGACTTGTAGAAAAATCATGGAATCGAACAGTGACCATGAATAGTCACCAAGTGAAGCAAGCAATCGCCTATGGTATAAATATTATGCTCTGTCAACTCGATTAATTACTTTAAATTAGACTTTTTATACAAAAATATAAAAATATATTAATTTATATCTCATATTTGTGTATACAATTTTCAATAAATTAGTTTGATTTCTTCTAAAAAAAATCTGCGATATGAAATTATTTATTGAGAAGATTTTATTTAAATATTATTTTTAAAAAGTAAAAATAGGTAGAAACCCCAAAAAGAAAAAATTTACCATAGACCTATAAATCTTGAAAATTGGAAGTGAAATGGGAAAGATGGCTGAACGCGGTTGCTTTCCATTAGAAGATTGAATTGGCAAGACTCAAAATCTTGACTTTCTTGTACCTGTACCAAGAAATGATATTATTGCCAATGCCATCTTCCCATTTGGTTTTTGTCACGCGGTTGCTACACCTTTTGCAATTATGTATAAATTTAGCAACTTTTCTATTTTTAATTATTTAATATCTAAATACATAAATTCACCGCTATACTATTTATAAAAAAAATATTATGATATCTTAAATTTTACGGAAATCTATTATACTCTTAAAATTAAAGATTCTAATAATATTATATACTTCTACATATTTGCAACAATATTTTTAAAATATTGATTTGATATATAATTAGTATCGCTTTTGAAACAATAATTTTTCGTAACTACTATTTAAATGTTCAATATTGCTTGTATATGCATGAAAATAGATTTTTTGATTGAAAAAAAGAACATTTAGCAATTTTGGACAAGTAAGATTATAACACTGGACAAGGATGGTTGTGTCTTTTGAACAGGCAGCTCTTGAAATAACATGGCACAATTGCTTGGAAGTTGTCTTGTTGGACCTACTCAGATAAGGAAGTTTTGACTACCAAGTAGGAACAACTATTTTCTACCTCTTGCAAAAAAGACACACAACATGTGAACCAATTGACTTAGCCATTCTAATTGAAACTATTTAAATTTCATCTCTTGAAATAAAGTATTGAAAGAGTATGAAATGCTAAAAATATATATATATATTTGTTTTTTTACTGAAGTCATAAATTTAAGTAAATAAAAAAATTTCGTGTACCCTTTATATGGAATGTGATCGTTAATTAGGCAAAAAGTTTAGAGTTTACTTGGACTAACCCAGAAAATAAAACAAAGACCAAAGTATACACAGAATAATTATAAATTTAATTAGCTTTGTTAAAACAATATTAATATATTGTTGAGTATTCAATGTTTCTTCTTGATCGCGGCTGGAGAAACAGAGTACAAGTAACATGTTATGTTTAACAAATACAACAGTGAAAAAATCTGCAACTTCAAGAGGTCAATACTGTAATCTCATGTTCTAAGCAAAGTCAGAAACAAGAAAAGGCAACGCCGTTTTAGTTATTCGTGTAAAAACGCTTTGAAATTCCGGCCGTTAACCAGAGAGAGAGAGAGAGAGAGAGGGGGAGCTTTGGGTTGTTGCACTAAAGAAAATCCACCCCCAGATTCCTTCAAATTTTCTATTTTGTCCTTCCAACTTGTTCTCTCTCTCTCTCTCTCTCCCTCTTTTATTTTTCTTCTCCTCTCCTCTTCTGGTAAGTCTTTCTTCCTCTGTTTCTGAAAGACGGCCATGTTTGGAGAGAAAGATCATCGTCTCTCCAACGGTGAGGCAGAAAGCTTGCAAAATCAAGAAAACCCTGAAGACAAAATTGGTATGTCTCAAAAGGGGATTGATTTTCTTAGGGAATCAAAGATGGGTTTTCATGGGTTTGCCTCAAAACCTCAAGAACTCACTCTTAGTTATCTTTGTGAAAATCCTAAATTAGGTTTTGCTCAAAAGGGAAAGGAAGTTATCATGTCTGAGAATTCAAATCAAGATGAGAAATGGGTAGAGAGAGATTTCATGAATCTGAGTGAAACCAAATCCAATTCTTCTTCAAAAAGGGAAATCCATGAAGATGAAGAGATTGACAGAGAGAATTCCTCTAGAGAGAAAAAACCAAAGCTTGAAAGTACTTTAAATCTTTCTTTAGCTTTACCTGATGTTTCTCTTTCTCTCACTGCATCAAATGCATTGCAAAATGCTGATGCTTTGATAAAGCCAAAGCCTTGTAGGAGTATACAGTCTTTAGGTGCAGCCCCATCAAACAACACACAAACAACTTGTTCCAATGATTTCACTGCTGCTTCACTTTCGTATTCATATTCTCATCCATTTTCACACAATCCTAGTTGCTCTTTGACCCGTAATTCAACTGAGAATTATGAGTATTCTGTGGGGAAAGATGATCAAATTTGGTGTGGAGGGGAAGGTACTAACGGATCAGTTCATAGTAGGTTTAGGCCTATTGGGGATGGGCTTGTTGCTTTGAACAATAACAATCACGGTGGTGGTAATGGAGGATTTTCAATGATGCAGCGGGTAACAAATAAGGATTCTCGTGTTAACAGTCTTTATAGGACTGCTAGTTCTGATAATGTTTCATTTTTCCCATCTGAATTGCCTGCTAAGCCGCGTTTAGATGCTTATTCAGGTGATTCTAGGAGAAGGGATTCTGAGAATTTGAGAGGTATAGAGGCTTTAGATGGAGGAGGAAAGGCAAGAAAGCTCTCTAGACCGGAGAGAATTCTCCGTGAGATCGTATCGGAGTCTATTCCTGTTATGGCTCAGATAATTCAAGAATTAGCTGAAGAAACATTGGAATCAACTAAGGAGTACTTAAAGAATCTTATTTTGATGCCTGAAAAGAGAGAAGAATTAGCAGGTCTTCAGAACCGGCTAGAGAGAAGATCTGATCTTACCAAGGAAGCTCTCTTGAAGTGTCAAAAGGACCAGTTAGAGATTTTGGTTGCAGTAAAAATGGGGTTGGGAAGTTTTATATCGGGGAAAGTTCGAGTTCCTACAAATGAATTGGTGGAAATTTTCTTGTATATGAGATGTAGGAATGTGAACTGCAAGAGCATATTGCCTGTTGATGATTGCGAATGTAAGTTTTGCAGTGCAAACAAAGGATTTTGCAGCTCTTGTATGTGTCCGGTGTGTATGAATTTTGACTGTGCAAACAATACTTGCAGTTGGGTTGGTTGTGATGTTTGCTCCCATTGGTGTCATGCTGCCTGTGGTATTCAAAAAAATCTAATCAGACCAGGTCCTGGCTTAAAGGGGTCAAAAGGGACTACAGAGATGCAATTTCACTGCATTGGGTGTAATCATGCGTCAGAAATGTTTGGATTTGTAAAGGATGTGTTTGTTTGTTGTGCCAAGGATTGGGGTCTGGAAGCACTGATAAAGGAACTTGATTGTGTGAGGAAGATTTTCAAGGGAAGTGAAGATTCTAAAGGCAAGGAGTTGTATATTAAGGCTGAGGAGTTGTTCTCCAAGCTTGAGAGTAAAATCATGTCTCCTTCTGATGCCTGTAACATCATCGTTCAGTTCTTCAATTGTAAGTCCTCTAGCTTCGAATTTGTTTTTTTTCCCCATGCAATTTATATTGTCTTTCTTATTGCTTGAACTATGCTGATGATTGATTGTATCCTAGTAATTGATCTATGGGAATCAGTGTTCTTTTTGTTATGCGGCTGACTTTTGTTTCTGAAATCTAGAATTTCATGAACTACGTGTAATATTTCTCAGTTGCTGTTCTCCTTATGGACGGAGGTTTGTTGTTTAAATTTGTTTGTTTGTTTTGGTCACTGAAGGCCACATCCCACTTCACAAGTAGAAATCTTTTCTTTTATGAGGCTGGGAATCAATTGAGTCAGCTGGGAACTAAAGCTCCATTGGCATTGGGTTCACTGGGAAATTGGTAGTTTTTGGTGGGTATGTTGCTGAAATCAGAACAGTGGAATAGAAGACATAAGACCTTTCAGTGTTCATGTTGTAAATAGATGGTAAGACTAAGACCCTAAAGTCAAACCAAAGAATCAGAAAGAACTGCAGTGTTGAAAACATCAGCATCAATGACGTGAGCACATTAGGTTAGTGGTCATTGCAGGCTGTGACTGGAGACTTTGTCACAACCCAAAGCCTGATGGAACCAAGCATTTCCCAATTGCATGATGAGCTATGCAGGAGTGTTCCTGTCCCTATTTTTCTGTTCGTAGTTGGAGGTTCTGTTGGCACTCTGTATGTCTTTGCTCATTTGGCTATCGAGACAAGTTAATCTACAAGGGTAATGAAACGTTTATCTGATTAAGTTCACCTGGAACAATAGGTTACACTAATTTTTAAGTTGTATGTCTCTGACAAAGTACATCCGAGGATGTCAATGGACTAGGCAGTTTTTAGTATAGACGTGTGATCAAATGGTCCTGGCTTTGTAATGCAGACAAATCCTTTTAGGATAAACCAATAATTGTAAATAGGTTTTTCCTGAAGTCATTTCATATCAGTGTTGCGCCATGCTAGTCCTCCTGCAAATCATTGAAATAGGGCAGAAGAGAGGAGCAAAAAGTACATTGTGAACTTATTTCTGTTTTGTTTATATGCCCATTGTGGGGATTATTGTGGTTACATATTTACTGGGTATCACGTATGGCTCAAATTGTTTTTAGGCGGAAGCAAATCTTGGATGGGTAATTGATTTTTTTCCCACTGTGTATAACTAGAAGCAAGCAACACTGGTTTTCCAGAATCTGTAATATGTCGGATAGGTCTAGGTATTTAGAAAGTGGGTTAGTATGTTTGTGATGTAGGATGCCTCTTGTCTTGGTTCATTGGCTCACATGGATTGCTGCACTTACATGCTTAAAGTGCCATCTAAAGAGAACTCAGGATAAACACAATCTCTGTCCTATGTAGTGCTTGATCTATGCATTTGTAGCAAAAATTTGGTCCAAAATTGGTGGAATGTTTTATGCTTATGCATTCCAATATAAAATGGCTTTTGGCAAGTGGGGAAAGTAAATATGTCATCTTCAGATAAAGTGAGTAGTATAGTTTCAGGGTGACGAGTAACTGTTCTGATAGTCTGCCTCCTAGTAAGCTATCCACCTTGCACGTTGGCCACAATCTTGACAAATCAATATAATATGCTTTAGAATTTGTGCTGAAGTTTCTTGTCTTAAGTTATAATGCAAGTAATTGGATTGGTACCATGTCTATTATGCTTTCGTTTCTTTTTGTTAATTGATCACCATTTGGTTTTCACTGGACTCTGCTGCATTGGATCATCCTAAAATTTTCATGGAGATTTCTTTATTTCTTTTATTTTAAAGTTTTAAATTATGTGTGAAATCTAATTCCTTTTCTCCTGTATTTTTGGGATATTTAGATGCAGATAGTATTTCCGATTTTCCTGCTTCTGGTGTATCAGCAAAAGAATTGATGCCAACTGAAGCTAGTCTTAGAAAAGACATGGCCTCTATTCCACCAGCCACTTCTCTCCCTCCAAAATATGCCATCTATAATATGAGCTCTTCAAGTTGCCAGCGTGATCCACTATCAAATGATCTCCATCGAAATGACGTCAAGGCTGCACTGCTTAGTGACTTGAAAATTGAAGACGAGTTTCAGTTTGGAAAGTTATCTAAGAAAGATGGACTTGAAAGCTTAGAAAGCATTGTGCGGATTAAAGAAGCAGAAGCCAGAATGTTCCAGAGCAAGGCCGACGAAGCACGGAGAGAAGCCGAAAGTTTCCGTCGGATGATTCGGGCCAATTCTGAGAAGTTGGAAGAAGAGTATGCAGAGAAGCTTTCCAAACTGTGTTTGCAGGAGACACAGGAAAGGAGAAGGAAAAAATGGGAAGAACTGAAGGTTTTGGAAAATTCACATTGTGATTACTACAATATGAAGCTAAGAATGCAAGCTGAGATTGCTGGTTTGCTGGAAAGAATGGAAGCCACAAAGCAGCAATGGGTGTAATTTAATCCTTTTTTTTTTTTTTCTTTTTGCTTTTCTTCTCTTTTTATTGACAGAGATAATAGAAAGTGTGTAATTTGCTTACATCTTCACCATTAATTTAAAGCTTGTTTCTCCAATTGCAAAATGGAGCTCTGGAAGTTGATAGCTTTGTTCAAGAGAGCAGAAACAAAAATTTGTTTGTATATTCAATTTGTTGTATGCTGTTGGATTTGATAGTACATCAAATATGACAAAAACGAATGCATAGGCACAAATTGGTAGGTGACATTACAGGCTCAAGATATTGAAACAAAAGGGGCAAACCCTAACATTGCTTTGTGGAAGCACATAGATAACTCATTTTCTTTTCCATATTGCTACTTTTGATCCCTCCATAATCTAATGCAGTGGATTCTTTGGACCACAATTGTCTAATGTCACCAGCTGCTTGTTGCTCTTAATATTATATAAATAAATGATTCTTCCAATTGCAGTTGAAAATGGATATATTCTATTTCCTTTTAGCAATGATATGATATTATAGGCTAATTTTTGTGCACTGTAATAAATTTACTTCTTATCTTCAATAAATGAATAGAAAAATCTCCATTTATAATCTGATATTAAAAATCAAACCTTAATATGATATTATAGGTTAACTTAAATTACATTCTCATTCTTATGTTTCATTACAGTTCACTAAATATTCCTCTTTCTATTTAGATAAATTTGAAAGTTTTGATTTTTTTTTTTTTCCTTTTTCCTTAATAACATTTTTAGAAAATCTTAGTAGCACTAATTATTTTGTTTCAATTTCACCTTTGTCTATATATATGCACTAAATTGTCTCAATTAAACGAGCACTAATTAAAGAATAATTGTAGTCAATTATCTTTTTTTTTTTTTTAATTGAGGTGATTTAATTATTTTTTTAAGTATTATAAAAATTTAAAAATTATCAAATTGGAATAAAATTTTAGTGGATGAATATGTTTATTCTTTCCTGCTACCCATGAAAAGAAAATTTGATTGATTGACAATGTTTGAAGATTTTTTTTTTTTACCAAGAAAATTGTGATGGGAGAATAAAGGCAACTGGTTACTCAGCAGCAACTTGGTTTTGACTAGAAATTATGATATTGGAACCATTTAAATTGCTTGTAGATGGTGGGTTCATGTATAATTGGTGCCATAATGTCAATTTATACTTTGACTTTATGTCTTAGTGGGGTGTACCCACTAGTGTCACAAACCTTAATTAATTACCAACCTAAATAAATGTTTAGCAAGCATAATGAAAAGAATGCTAAGAACATTTCAACTAATTAAGGATAATAATAAGAACATATTGAAACAATAGCATAAACCCCACCAACCACCCTAATTAAAGTGGTTTTGGTACTATATCACTTTTTTTTTTTTTTTCCTGCACATGTGTCTCTATATTTAGGCTATCACTGGTATTCATGTAAAGCTTAGGATTGAGCAAATTTTGAAAAAACCAAAAATCTAATCAAATTATTTACGATTTTCAGTTTTAGCATTGGTTTCAAATCTTCTATAATTGCGTAAAACTGAATCATTTGTTGCCTACTAAATTGACTAGTTTGGTTTGATTTAAAAAAATATATTTTTATTTCTATGGTTCAATTCGATTCGAAATCAAACTGTCCGTTTGCACATTTTTACTCTGAAGTGACTCTTTGGTTTCTAACTTTAGCCTTATAGATAAAGTTGCTTAGGATTATCGTTTACTTCCATTGATCGGTATTAGTATCTCACTTTATAATTAAGCTAACATAGTATTTAATTAGAAATTACATAATCAAAAAAATTGGAAATCTCTTTTATTGATTAATTAATAAAGATTACACAACAAATATTAGTAATAAGAACTTTTTTTTTTCTTTTTGGGTATGTGGTAATGGATAATAAGAATAATATTTTTCAAGAATATAAAGGCAATGGAGGATGAGAAGGCCTAAATAATTAATGAAAGGATGGTGTCATCGATAACGACGTGGAAGAACAGCACTTAGGCCAACACCAACTGCATAAAGAAGAAGCAAGAGTCCTGTGAAGTTTACTATGAGTCCTTCTTGATCTAAGGTTTTGAATCTTTGGTTTAAACCAGTTTGGGCAGTACAAATGGCAAGAAAGAATATGAACATGCCTCCAAAGACATGCCATGGCATGTATGAGGCTCTTGCTGTCATTTCTGCTCCAGGGAACACATAACAGAAGAACCCTAAAACCCACTGCAACGAAATATATTATTACGAATCCAGAACTCATTTACAATTTTTTTTTTTTATTTGAAAAAAAAAGAGAGAGAGATAAATTACCTGAAGACCAAATAGGCAGATTGTGATCATGCCTAACCAGGAATGTAAAGTAACCATATTTTTATCTCCAATCTGATGCTTATACTTAAAAGCTGCATAAACTCCCAAAACTCCAGCCACAAGTGCTATTAGATGCAATATAAAGTGAACTGCCTTTTGCACCTTTCTTTCTGCTGGAATGGTCTTGTAAGCCATAATAGCTGCCTCAAATGAAGACAATGAAGAAATTTGTAGAAAGATTTTTTTTTTCAACCCACAAAAAAAAAATTAAAGAAAGTAAGTTTAAAATGCTCTAGGTTTTTTTACCTTCACCTGCTATAAGTATGAAGCCAACTATCATTAGAAAAATGTGCACCTGTGAATTGGAGAAGAAATAGAAAACATTTATGATACTATTTTTGTAATAGTATATATAATTTCTCTTCACTTTCGATAAATATTCGACTACTGAATTATTTATTCTCAAGGAAAAAAAAAAACTTACGTTCAGAATCTTGATTTCGTTGGCAGATTTGAAAGCAAAACCATCTTCAAACTTTAGGAGCCAAACAAGCACAAGAGTTGCTACACTTAAAAAAATCAAATGTGCAACCATTGTAATTGGGGTAGCAGAGAGTTGGTAACTGCGACTTTTAGGCGGCATTGCAATCAATTAAGAAAAAAGAAAGATGGAGAAGAAGACAGTTGAAAAAGGAATTAAGAGCTATAGGTTTATATGAATCTTGATTTTAGCAATAAGTTGGAAAAACCGAAGTGATGCATTTGTTTGTATTATAAGAGTCTAATTAAATTTTTTTTTTTTGACCAATTTAAGCTTAGCCTCCAAAGTTTTGCCGTTGATATGTACTAAGATAGCTTACGAGAAAGACATTCTATCAAACTGGAATAAACCGGCCGGCCGGCCAGCAGGCAAAACTTTCCTTCTGGCAAGTTATGATCTTCAAATTATACACCTTTGCCTAGAATGAACCCATTCACATGCTTCGTATATATGTTTCTGATGCATTTTTTTTTGTAGATTTATTTTTAACAATGAACACAAATGGACTCAGTGAGTCAATTTAATTATTACATTTGCAAAAATAAAAAAATAAATAATATTGCAACATTAATCCAATCAAAATTAATCAAGACACAAAAATCCACACACCAATAACAATAACAATGATAATAATAATAATTAGACATAACGGGCGAGAGTAACTGAAATATCAACAAAAATGCCGAAGAGGAGGATGAACAATCCAGTGAAATTCATCAGACGATTTTCATGAGTATGTTGTTGCTCTAAAAATGTAGATTTCTCCATAATTCCAGTTAAAGCTGCACATACAGCCATGTAAAGGAGAGCTCTACCCCCACATATATGCCATGGAAGCATCATTTTCTTTGTAACGTCAGGCTGTGGAATAATAAATGTGAACAAACCAAATAACCACTGCAAAACAATTTTCAAACACATTGTCACAATTTGATTTTCTGGTCACTAAACAAATTGCTAGTTTAATTAGAAAATTAGTTAAGAATAATAACCTGCAACCCAAATAAGCAGATGGTAGTTATTCCAATCCATGAGTGTAAGCTATAGACATCCTCAGCTTTTATCATGTCATGAAACTTGAAAACAGCGGCAATGCCAACAATTCCAAGACATATAGCCGCTAGGTGAAACACCAAATGGATTAATTTCTGCGTTTTATGTGAAACTGGTATTGTCTTGTACACCATCATAGCTGCGTATGAATTTTTAAAGGTAATTTTTAAAGGTATAAAGACTAGATCACCGAACATTATAAATAATAGAAGTACGCATGGAAAGCTGTTACAGAGCAGGCTAACTATATATACATGCAGTATATATTACCTTCACCGGCAAGAAAGATGAACCCACAAAACATCATAAATGGATGAACCTGCAAAAATAAATATTAGATATTAGTAATAAGATGAACTAATCCAATAAAAACAATGACAAGTGAAATTAATTACTTACATTGAAAACGCGATCAGCATCATAAGAATCATATTCAATGCCACCCCGATAACGTAGCAACCAAATCAGCATGAGAATGAAAGCCAAAATACCAAACAAATGTGCAACCACTGTTAGCCGAGAGGCAGAACGCCGGTAACGATAGACGACGCCGGAATCCATTGCAGGAAATATCAGTATATTAGGAAATTGTTAATCAACTGCTTAATTATATATTCTGGTGATGTTTCAAACTCAGGCTTATATAGAAACAGAACTTATAAGAGGAAGAGAGAACACATTTATTGATTGTTTGAATCTTTTTGATTGCTTGTCTATTGGGTTTGGTATACTATTATATAGTATATATTAACTTTGTTCTTCGGAAAAGTATCATCGTCCCTAATTGTTTCACGGAATTTATTTTTTTCTTGTGCATGTGAAAAAAGAACGATCCTTTTGAAAGTAAATAGTCTGCTAATTCATTCTTTCTCCTTTTCTTTTTTCTGCATGATAACGATAGTTCACCGTTATATACAGTAAACTACTTAATTAAGTACTTATCTTATTACAAATAGTTTGCCTTTAATCCAAATTGCTTAGTAGTATTTCTCACAGTTGCTTACCTAAATATCACTGTCAGTCTGAGCGTGAAAATACTGAGTAGATATTCAATACTTTTTTTGGTTAAATCTTAAGTGTATATACGCACACGTCAATACTTCTCGATTTTTGATTATCAAAATCGTTATATCAAAGCAATGAAGGTATCAACAACATGTTGAATGAAGTGGTAAGTGACTCGAGAATGAAAATATAAGTTTCATTCTCGAAAAATGCAATTTGTTGGGAGTATAAAAAGACCTCTACCACCCTTGCATGAAAAGTTTTCCCTCTTGTCATTTAAGGACTACGGGGGAAACTTTTCCCTCCTTTCCATAACCGAGACAGGAAAATTTGAACGTGGGCTTTTCAACTTGAGTGCGTCTGTACAAGTTAAGACTCTTGCTAGGCTCAGCCTCCCCATCATGATCAAAGCCCAATGGGTTATGGTAATTGAAATTTTATGGATGGATGTTCAAGTCCAATCCATCAGGTACTATTTATATAACAGTTTATTCAATTTTCATTTATCATCTAATAAAGAACATAAAAAGAACAACATATATTTTATTAAACATGGATTTTCATTAACATTGTCATCTTTTTTTTTCCATTGGTAGTATTCATTATAAAAGAAATATTATAATATTTTTTTCATATTTAATCAGTGACGAAGCCATGTGTAAGAAAAGGAGGCAATTGCCTCTCTTCTTCGGAACAAAAAATAAATTAATAAATAAATAGATAATGAAACTCAATAATATCCACAACATATTTCTCCTTTTTTTTTAACTAGTAAAAAAAATTTATACAGAACTATATATTTCAAGAAATTATGTGAGATAATTAATTAAAATTACCAAATTTAATATTGATGTTATGCATAAGAATATATTTTTCTTTTGAATCTTAGATTTTTCACTTGCATCGAAGTCTGGAAGCAATTTTCAATGGTTTTGTCTAATATAAATTAACTAAACTCCCAAGTCATGTGAAATTGTGAATCTCCACTCTACATAAAAAATTATATAAACTCCATATGTTTTCTTCATTATAATATTAATTAATGGTTATAGGAGTGTAAGAGTGTGATTAGGCTCATGTCACAACAGAAAATTATTTGAATTGACTTTAGGAGATAATATCTAAATTGGAGGAACCTTGTGATCCATTTTATACTATGAAGAATATTCCAAATTATTCATATAAATGTAGTCATTTCCAAGTTGGTGGTATGTTTTGTCAACTTATAGTTGCTTATATATCAACTTTGCATCTCGATTTCAAAAGCCAACTTGATTAGTCTTCCATCCATCACCATTCATTCCCTACCAAATTTGAATTTTAGTGAATTTTTTTTTAAAAAAAAAAAAAGAAAATCCTTTTTTTGAGTTTTTTTTTTAAAAAATTAAATTAGATTTCATGAATTAAAAACTGTATATATTGATTCTCGTCGCACTAACCACGTATCGTTTTATGGCTATTGTTAAGATACTAACATGCAGGCTTTATAATAGATGGTAGCCCTCTCCTCAAAATACATCAAACTGATGAAAATAACTGTGGTTGAGAGGACTCGAACTTGAAGCCTTTCACTCTTCATATAAAAGAGGAGACTAACCAGATCACTACTTAATCGGCAATCCAATGCCAATTTAAAATTCCATAATTGACTAATTTAATAACTCATATATTTTGGAGGTAAATGGATTAATTATTATTATTACTACTTTTCCTAGTGATTTATAAGTTTTTGTAATTATTTTGATATTATTCCATGTCAACATTAAAAAATTGATTTGAATTTGATGGATGAAGTTGACCATTTGATTATGTTATTAATTTTAATTATTTTTTTAAATGATTTTTTGTATGGTATGTGCATGCCTGCTTATAATTATCTTTGTATATATTTAGAGAAATAAATCAAATAATAACACATCATTTGATTGTTTGTTTTGTAAACTTGTAGTCGTATGTATACCCTCTTGTCGTATTTGGCCGCCCTGCAACTAGAAGATGTGGCCATGCTACTACGGTTTTATTCAGTTCATGCCAAATTTCATAAGAGCTGCCTGTACGTAGTTGTACCAGAAAGCAACTTCCCTATATCAAAAGAAACTAAGAGAAAATTATAAAAATAGTGCCAAATTACAATTACAATTTTCAAGCTGAAAATTTTCTTTTCATTTTTTATTACACTCTCTTTTGGTCATGAAGAAATTGTTATACTTTACTAACACTAATTAATTAATTAATTAATTAATTAATTAATTAATTAATAACAGCATATATAAACTAGAGATAAGCACATGTGATATATGGTCAAGAATGATTCCGGAAGGATTAACATGTGAACCAACTTCACATGTCAAGTTCAATTAGCTCTCTAACATTATAAACCAAATGGGAAATGAAAATGAAATTTGCTGCCAAAGTTATATGTATAGATCAATGACAATCTCTAAAAATTTAATTAAAACTTCCAAATTAAGTTATTGTGGATGCAAATACAGCAAAGGAAAGACTAGACTTTTCTAAATTTTCCATTTCAACAATATACATATGCTAATAAGATTGCTGGAAAAAGTGGTTGAAGATCGAAATATTAGTATAAACGACAATGCTTAATCAATTATTTATTTATTTATTTATTTTTATATCATCCAACTATTTAGTATAAACCAAAATAAATTGATGTGAAAGGTAAGGGGTGGTGAGCAATGATTGGGTGAGACCACCACTATTAACACCTCTAATCACTAGCCATTATTCACTAACTGAAATTCCTACGCATATTATTATAATAATTATTATTGTTATTATTATTATGTCTTTGGCCCGTCATCCCACCACTATTTAAGCGCGTGGGACAGCCCACTTTCCAACCCATTTGTCCACGCGGATTAGGACATTTCATGGACCCCGCTTATTATGCTGATTCAGCTGGTGACATATACCTCCACATCTTCAAACTCTTTATGCCAACTCATCCCGAATGAACCTTCTCCAGCTTTCACTCGCGAGTCCTCTCCTACTCCTAACCTCCTATTTTGTCCAAACAGTCCATCTTGTTGTCCATTTCTCCATATCACTACTTGGCAACATAAAAAATGCGGCTGCCCAAGAATCACATATGACATATGGGTCCCTTTTTTTTCTTTTTTAATCAGGTATTTTTCTTTTTTTTTTTTAAATGATACCACTAATTTCATGAAATTTTTTCATATAAAAGAATTACGAGAAGATAGAGCTTTTTTATTTTGTCTATGCCAAATTTTATTAGCTAATTTTGGAATACATTTAGTGAACCATAATATAATATAATTTATATTATATTATATTTGGTTTAAATTACTAAAAAGAATCCCATTGCTTAGAAACAAATTAAACTCCAATTAGTAATTAATCATATACTTAAGATTAGGGATGGATGGGAGATTGAATTCATGTATGGCTTCAAAAATAAGCAATAAGCAATTTATTATCTAAGCATTTTTTTTTTCTTATTTAATACAATCTTTGCATGTGAAAATGGCACTGAGAATGGAAGAGATAGAGAGCAAGTTTATGACACAGAATTGTCTTATGCATTTGACATGTCGGGAATAAATGATGATATGAATGGACCTACCAAAACAAAACATATTAAAATTATTCATTATCTTAATATATATATGAAATAAATATTTTACACAAGTTTGGTATTTGAAGAAAAGTGGAACCCACCACATTCCAGATATTATAATGTTATTATTTATTTTTGGCCTCATTGCTAGGTTCAGTGGAATCACACAATTTTTTAATAAATATTAATGATAAAATATAGTAATAATAATAATAATAATAAACCCTTGTATCACATAATATTATTGACTCTCTGTTAACGGCTATATGTATATATCCTCTCATCTTATTTATTTGTCCTCTTTTCTTTGTACATAAATGAAATTAATTAATTAAATTAAAAGATATATTTTTTATATTATCCCATAAACAATTATAAAATTATAGTAATTAGAAACAAATTTACTGAAAAATCATACAAATGTAATTTCGTATCGAGAATTTATATAATAATACACATATAATTGAAGTCCACCAATAATAATCCTGTACATCAGAATTATAAATTTATAAAACATGAGGAAAAAAAACAATTTTTTTTTTTTTTTTTTTGAGAGAGAGAACTAATGCTTGCTCCTCAATCCTCATAACCTGGAGATATTATTAATGATTGTGCTTATGTTGTAAGTTATCCATCGGTGATTAATTTTATTGCCTCTTTATACATATAGGCGTGACAGTAATTTTTTAATTAGTCTGATTGATTGCCTAACCTAGCAAATAATTAGGGGAATGATTTTCATTTTTCATGTACAAAAATTATTATGGTATATATATTTATCAAAAAGTTAATCATAATCTTTCTATGCTAGGTTAAATCTTAACACGTAATTAATGTTAGACTGACGAAAAATATTTTTTTATGCATGTTTGGTAAAGCATGTATGTTTTTTCTTTAAAAAAAAAAAAAAAAAGAAATAATAGTTACATAGAAACGTAGTATCAGTTACAATAATTGTTGACTTAACTAATTCTATGACACCGAAAGGTATTTTATTAAAATAATCCTAGGTTTCTGTACGTTTAATTTATAATTAAAAAA